ACTTCCGGCTTTTTTTTCTTTTTGCTTATGTGGTGCTGGGGAATCGAACCCAGGGCCTCAGGCATGCAAGGCAAGCCCTCTACCACTGAGCCACCTTCCCAGCCCTTGTTGTTTCCTTTTTTGTTGTTTTTCTGCTAATGCTGAACTTGAACTCGGGATCTGGCCACTCTCTTAGCTTTATGGCTCAAGGCTATCACTCTATGGCTGGGTGTGGGTGTGCACACTCGTGCACACACACATACACACACACACACACACACACACACTTGGGACTTAAGCACAGGGCCTGGAGCTTGAACTAGGGCCTGGGCACTGTCTCTGAGCTTTTTCAACTCAAGGATAGCACTCTGAGCCACAGCTCCACTTCCAGCTTTTTAGTGATTAATTGGAGATAAGAGTCTCATAGACTTCTTGCTTGAGCTGACTTTGCATTGTGATTCTCAGATCTCAGCCTCCTTTGAGTAGCTTAAGATTATATGTGTGAGCCACCAGCACCTAGCTGAAGTTTTACACTTCATACTAGCCTAATTCTCAACCTTTTTTTTTTTACACTGAATCTCTGAATGTAGCTGCCTTTATGACTAGAAAACCCTTGAATGCCATGCCTATGCCCAACAGGAAATGATTGTATTTTTTTTTCTTTTAACATTCCAGGTATGATCTACCATGCCCTTTCTCAGGAAGAGGCTGAAAAACATGATGTGCAGGTACAGTTCTGGGCAGGAGGTGTAGGAGCAACACAGGTGATGCCAGTGTGACTTGGTGTTGTGCAAGCCTCCAGTACTGGCTTATCTGCCCTTTCCCAGGTCATTTCCTCATCTTTCTTATAGATAGCTTAGCTCCGCCCAGTTCAAGTGGGCTGACTTTCTCCCCCTTGTCAGCTTCCTGTCCTATTGTGCCAAAGTCAGCTCTGATGAACTTGGCCTTCCATGGTAAGGGAACACCAGACTGTATTCATCTTAAACCTGATGAACACGATGCCCCCTTGCTTTGTGAGGAAGACCCCCAGTCAAAGTCTCTCAGTGCAAGCTGGGTACTTGTATTCATTCCTGTAAACTTAGCTATTTAGGAAGCTGAGATCTGAGGATCATGGTTCAAAGCCAGCCAGGGTAGGAAAGTCCTTAAGTGTCTTAATCTCCAGCAAACCACCAAAAAGCTAGAAGCAGAGCTGTGACTCAAGTGATAGAGTATTACCCTTGAGCAGAAAAAACTCTGGTGCTGGTATTAAGGCTCTGAAGTCAAGACCCGATAGTAGCACACACACACACACACACACAAACACACACATTTCTGTCAGTGGACTGTACTCTGTCCCTTGGGCAGAGGTCCTCCTGTGGCTCACATCACATTGTAGCCTTGCAAACAAGATCTGAGAAGATTATAGTAAATCGTACCTGTCATCCTAGCTACTCAGGAAACCGAATCTAGAGTTCCTGGTTCAAAGTCAGTCCAGGCAGGAAAGTCTAGCCTTGAGTGAAAAAACTAAGGGCAAGCATGAGACCCTGAGTCTAAGCCCAGTAATGGGAGGGAGGGGGAGAAGAGAGATTTTTGTGTGTGTGTGTCAGTTGTGGGGCCTGAACTCTGGGACTGGGCGCTGCCCCTCAGCTCTTCAGCTCAAGGCTAGTGCCCTACCACTTGAGCCACAGCACCACTTCTGGCTTTTTCTGCTTATGTGGTGCTGAGGAATGGAACCCAGGGCTTCATGCACGCGAGGCAAACACTCTATCCCTGAGTCACCTTCCCAGCCCAAACGAGAAATTTTTGAAAGACCAATGTATCTTCATTTTGCCTCTCCATGAAAGAAAAATCACAACTACTTAAAAGAATCTAATTGTCTTCCTGCATCGATAATGATGGGAAGGAATTCCTTTTTCTTTAGCATCTAAAGGAATTGTGGTGCTTGTGGAGCTGTGGTTCAGGTGGTAGAGCACTAACCTTGAGAGAGAAAAAAAAGCTCAGGGACAGGCCCTGAGTTCAAGCCCAAGGATCAGGAAAAAAAAAAAAAAGCTCAAATCTGTAATCCTAGTAACTCAGGAAGCTAATATTTGAGGATCATGGTTATCACCAGTGAACCACCAGAAAACTGGAAATGGAGCTGTGGCTCAAAATGGTAGAGTGCTAGTCTTGAGCAAAAAAGTTCAGGGACAATGCCCAGGCCCTGAGTTCAAGCCCCACAACCGATTTAAACACACACATACACACACACACACATAGACGAAATAAAACTAGAAACACTTGGAGTTTTTCCAGAATGACCCCGAAGTCCCTAAGGCCTATGTTCCTTCAGATTAACTTGACACTGCCGTGTCAAGCTTCTTTTGTGCCCATAGTGGGGCTTGAACTCAAGGCCTCCTGCTCTTGCTTAGCTTTTTCATTCAAGATTGGCATTCTACCACTTGAGCCACACCTTCACTTTCCACTTACTTGCTGGCTCATTAGAGATATGAGTCTCCTGGGCCAGGTGCTGGTGACTCACACCTGTAATCCTAGCTACTCAGAAGGCTGAGATCTAAGGATCGAAGTTCAAAGCCAGACCAGGCAAGAAAGTCCATGAGACTCTTATCTCCAGTGTGAACCACTAGAAAACTAGACCTGGAGCTGTGGCTTAAAGTGGTTGAGCAAAAGAAGTTCAGGGATACGTCCAGGCCCTGAGTTCAATCCCCACAACTGGCCAAAAAATTAAAAAAGGAGTCTCATGGACTTTCCTGGCTTTGAATCATGATCTTCAGATCTCAGCCTCCTGAGTAGCTAGGATGTCAGGTGTGAGTGACAGTTCCTGGCTTGGCAGCAGGAAAACTGGTGAGCCTTGCTGAGTAGATGACAGATCAGCAAAGACACTGGCTTTCAGGAGTGAGGAGTACCCCACCATGTCCCCTTACAGCAGCTAGGAGCACAGCGGGCAGAGGCCTTCGTAAAGGCCTTCCTGAAGCGGAGCGTCCCCCACATGAGGCAGCAGCTCTGCGAGGACCAGCTGCAGCGCAAGGCTGTGGTCCTGGAATATTTCACTCGCCGGAAGCAAAGGGAGAAGAAGAAAAGATCGAAAGGCCTCTCTGCCCGGCAGAGGCGGAGCCTGCGGCTGTTTGATATCAAACCAGAGCAGCAAAGGTAAGCTCCCCTCTCCTGGCCCTCCCGACTGCTGAAGCCCACGGCCCCTCTCCTCCATCAGCCACAAGGGGGCAGCCGTCCTTCACCAATTCTGCTGGGCTTGGCCTAATGCCATGGACTGCTCAGTGTTGGGCTCCCACCAGGGACAAAGTGGGTGCCTGTCAGTGGCTCGTGTCTGTAATCCTGGCTACTCACTAGGCTGAGATCTGAGGATCGCTGCTTGAAGCCACCTAGTCAGGAAAGTCTGTGAGACTCTCACCTCCAGTAAACCACCAAAAAGCCAGAAGTGGAGCCATGGCTCAAGTGGCACAGCACTAGCCTTGAGGGAAAAAGCTAACGGACAGTGCCCAGGCCCTGAGTTCAAGCCCCAAGATTGGCATCAAAGAATATAAAAAAGTCTCATACTAATGACTTAAGCAAGATTAAGACTCATTTCTCTCTTGAAACCATTCCACATGACCAGACCACAGCACTGTTAGAGCTTTTCCTCATGGACCCAGATGGCATCCTGCACTCTAGCCATCAGGACTGCATCTAAGACAATGGAAAAAGGTGGACGGCAGAGGGGGGTCACGGCTAACTCTTCTGGAGAGCAGAATCTCAGCCTCTCAACATTTGTAGCAACGGGGGCAGTCGAGGTTCACGAGAAGAAGGTGTTCACAGTTTTATTCAGACTTCCTGCCCCACCCAGTGTCCCCAGACCGCCGTTCCTCAGGTAAACCCCATGCTCCTGTTTAACCTTCTGCCCATGTCTGACTTCTCATAGGTACAACCTTTTTCTCCCTCTGCATGAGCTCTGGAAACAGTACATCCGGGACCTGTGCAATGGTCTGAGGCCGGATACGTGAGTTGCGTTTCTGAGCCTTATTGTAGAGATGGGGTCATTGTGAATGCAGCCTGAGAAACTGGCTGTGTGTGCAGTGTGTGGCTGGAGCATGGGCCGGCCAGTGCCTCCTCACTGGGGTGTAAGTTCAGGCTTTCTCTCTGCTTCTCAGGCAGCCACAGATGATTCAGGCCAAGCTACTCAAGGCAGATCTTCATGGCGCTCTCATTTCAGGTAATTGGTTCAGAGCTTTGGTCACCTGGAGACAATCATTCACTACTGGGTTGCAGTGTGGACATCTCCATGTACCCTGTGAGCTCCCTGCAGGGTGCTCCAGATCCCAGCCTCAAAGGCAGAGACGGCTGTGGCCATTGATTTTATTGTATTGCCGGTCCTGGGGCTTGAACCCAGGGCCTGGGCGCAGTTTCTTTGCTTTCTTGCTCCAGGCTACTGCTCTTCCCCTCAAGCCACATCTCCACTTCCGGTTTTTTGGTGGTTCACTGGAGATCAGAGTCTCACAGACTTTCCTGCCCAGTTTCCTGGCTGGGAAGTGCAATGCTCAGGTCTCAGTCTGCTGAGCAGCTAGGAGGACAGGAGTGAGCCACCACTCCCCAGCAGGTGTTTTGTTGTTTTGGTTTTTTGTTTAGAACCTGTGACATTTTGACTCTAGCCAAGCAACCAAATTTGGGCCTTGATGATGCTGGATGGGCATGTGACACCCCCCTCCCCCACACACACACACCTCATAAGAACAGCAAAACTGGACGCCAGTGATCACACTGTCATCCTAGCTGCTCGGGAGGCTGAGATCTGAGGATCTCAGTTCAGAGCCAGCCCATGCAGGAAAGTCCATGAGACTCTTCTCTCCAGTGAACCACCAAAAAGCCAGAGGTAGAGCTATAGCCCAGGTGGTAGAGCACCAGCATTAAGGGGGAAAAAAGCTAAATGATAACACCCAGGCCCTGAGTTCAAGCTCCAAAACAGGAAGGAAGGAAGGAGACAGCTGCAGTTGCCAAGCTTCAGGACAAGGGACAGGAAGCAGTTGTGGAGTGTGCACTATTTGGGCTCTTCTCCAAGGCCAAACATCACCACCTCTGCCTTTCTCCTTTGCAGTGACAAAGTCCAAGTGCCCCTCGTATGTGGGCCTGACCGGAATCCTCCTCCAGGAGACGAAGCATGTGTTCAAGATCATCACCAGAGAGGATCAGCTCAAAGGTACATGGCTGGGGCTCTCCAGGCTGCCTCATCCCTTTCCCTGATGCCTGGGCCCTCCACGGACAGCGGGGCGGGCTGGCTAATGAAACTGGTGTTTTGTTTTGTTTTGTTTTTGGGTCCAGTCATGGGGCCTGAACTCTGGGCCTGGGCGCTGTCCCTCAGCTCTTCAGCTCAAGGCTAGTGCTCTATCACTTGAGCCACAGTGCCACTTCTGGCTTTTTT